TTACTTATGGCTACCATTCTCAATTCCTGACTTTTGAGGACTGAAAACTTCATTTTCTAGCGAAGTTTCAAACAATACACTGAACATGTCTATAGAACCAGCTTTCCAGCCCCCTTTCGTAAGTCTTTCATTTTGAACCACGACCTCTAGATCATCAAAGCTCATAGCTGGTGTTATTATAGTCACAGAACCAAACTTGCTTTCCATTGTTTTGTCGACCACTTCACTCGATTGCGATGATGTCGTGTCCCTATTGTAGTCGCTCTCATATCCGGACGAGCCATTTAGCGAGTCCGTGCAATGCAATTGGGCAGCGGCTGACCATGCGCGATACATTGCCGACATCATTAAAGGTGGCGTGTCACTTTGTCTCAGCACTGCCATGGAGACGCTATGCTGTAATACACTGTCATGGTGATTTTTACTGGAAAAAAATGCAGCCTCAGTGGGGTAACTGAAAATCATCCTCGGCGTTTTCCCGTAACTAGTGGATCTCTTGATGTGTTCTCGGTCGTTTAGAATCATTACGCTTTCTTCGCTACACGATTCGGGTTTTCTTTGCATTAACCATGGAACAAAAAACAGCAAACACACTCCGAAAGTCATAATTGCTCCACAAAGAAAGAATGCGATATCATATTTTCCGAATTTGTCGAAGATAAATCCTGCAATGAAGAGAAGAAAAAAGAAATTGTATGTTACAAGTCCCGACATAGTTTAAGACTTAAATTTTTGATTTGAGATTTTTAGATCACACTAATGCTAATACTTACTGATTATCTTTAGGCCGCTTTAACCGTAAACTGATTAAATATTGACTAAAAATCGATAATAGTCCGGAATTCTTTATTGTACTTTTTTTCAACCAGAAACGTTAGCACTGTTATCCGGTTATTGAAGGAGATTAAGCCCTCTCCCGATTGCAAAATGCTAAAACTTCTAACATTTGATAACTTGTTCCCGCAACTACGACATTCTCGTTAAAACTCGTAGTAGAATGACGACGGCTATCACGTTTCCCCCCCCAAAATGACGCTGGTTCGAATTCACGCGTGAGCAATACTCAGTATTGAGAAAATCTCATACTCGTTGTCATTCCACATAGTCCACTTCGATACAACTGGACAGGGGCTGTTTCACGGTTGTCTGGTCATTTTGTTATAATTGGAATCCAGAATCCTGGGCTTTAGAATCTGGGAAACAACTCTAGGAAACCGGAATCCAAGTTCCATTGCCAGAGAATCCGGAATCCGGAATTCATGGCGTGGAATCCAGAATCCACAGCTGTCTTGGATCCCCTTACATGAGGCCAATAACGCCGATTGCACGTCTTTATAGCTCACTTCGGAAAAGAGTGATAGCCTGGGACCCAAACTAAGCACGCGCTCATTTCTGGGATTGTCTGGGGGTACAAGTCGAGCAGCCACCTTGAATTATGACGAGACATGCAAGTTGTTGTGTTTCTTGAGAAAAAGGGGCTATGCTCACAGGTTGTCGAGTACCTTTAGACCATGAATTTTAAAACACTATACCAACCTGCCACAGGAGGACCAAGTAAGTTTCCGATGGCGGCCGCAAAGCAAAGGTTTCCAAAGGCCCGACCTACCAGTTTCTCCCCAACAATATACAATGTTCCCATCCCGAACATGACGGCGAGACATCCATCAAACAAGCCAAACACAACGACATACACTACTAAAGATGAGTAAGTCCTTGCTAATGGAAAGAGAGTGGCATTAATAGCCAGCACAAGGCCAATGATTTGAACTGACGTGACTCTGTCTATTCGCGGACTGCTTCCCAGTCTCCCGAACACTATCCGTGAAGCTGTTTGTGTGATAGCCTGGAAACCAATGAGCAATGCACTCTTGGAACTTGGAATACCTATATCATTTGCTATGCTGATCTGTTGAAACACAAGAACAACTTTTAACTTCACAACGGTTACACCCTAGCGCTAAAAGAAACTAGGAACCTTCTTGAGCCAACACTCTGAAAGCAGTCGGGTAGGTTCCAAGATTTTCTTCCATATCTTTTATGTAAAACGGGTATGAATAATTAAGCAGACTCTCCCCCTAGTACAGGTTTTGCTGTAACCGCCGCACTTCTCTAGTTCTGTCTTGACCGTGAGACAAGAACAAAAAGTTAACGCACAAGGGAAACAAGAAATGTTGATACTCAGTGTACAACACCAGGCCATCAAAGCGAGTCCCGGCGCTTATCTTTTCATATGAAAACAAGATTTCGTTCACGAGCAAATAAACTCATTTTTATGTTAAGAGTTATTACACTAGGCCTCGCCTTGATGAAGGAGTTGTGTGTTAAACTAACGTATTTCTATTGTAATTTATTTGATTCCACTCGCACCTTTGTGATTTCTTTCATTTTGTATCGTAACTTCTGTGATTGGATTAAAGATCTCGTGCCACTTTCTCGACCAATGAGAACATGATCTAAACAGAACCTAGTTCCACCAGTTTTCCCGCGCTTCTCGAAAAAGACGAAGCACCGCCCATTTAAGGAGCGTGTGTTGTGTCGCCATTGTGCGAAGAAAGAAATCGCACAAGTGACTACCTACTGTATTGAGGATGTCACACCAGTTTGAAGAAAGTGAGAGAACCAAAAAAGTGACTTCAAAAGTAACTTAATTAGCCAGCAGAAAAAGTAAAACTAACAACCTCTAAGCAACTGAACGTGAGGCTGGTTGTTTACCATTTACATGGGTAAACCGCTCGATTCACGGTCTGGGAAAATGGTTAGCAAGATTCAGGACTGGTAAATATCGTGTCGGAATCGCCTTAGCCATTTGTACAAATTAGTTCCATTTAAAAAACAGCCGCCAAGGCCTGAAACTGGTAACAATAATGGCTTGAAATGGAACACAAATTTTCGTTTGGAACATTCCGTCCGAAAAACAGCACTACTTTTTCGATGTTCCGTTGCTCCCGGAAATTTTCCTCTGAAACCATCCAAAAAGTTGCGTTCCATTTACTTCCCAACCGGATTTTGCGGAAAAGTTTGGTAAATGGTAAACAACCGCTTTTATTGGAACATTTGCCATGAACCGAAACAAGAAATTTGTACTTACCAAAAAGACGAACGGTATGAAGTTTCCAAACGCGATAAAACTCAAAGAAACTGCCCAAACCGCAAAAGCCTTGTTGTTCCAGGGGTTTAAACTAATAAATTCCAATAAATGTAACTTAAGCTTGTGATGAATACCACCATGTAAATTTCTAATTAATTCTTTCTTGTCTAGTTTAAGATAAAGCCTCCGTGATATAGCAATTTGACCGTAGCTCAGACTTGCAGCACACATGAGCAGCGTGATTCCCGCAAGAATTCGTATTGTCACTCTCCAGTCGTAATATCCGATAAGTTGATTAATCAACCACGTCATCGGCGGAACGCCCAGTCCAGCTCCAGCAATGGCGATTCCGTAAGCTAATGATAAATATTTTCTAAAATGCATGGGTAAAATAACTAAAGAAGCGAAATAACAAAAACTTGTTCCCACTCCCCAGAGTAGGCCATAGGTGAAATACAGCAAAACGAAATTTGTAACGTATGACGTAGTGAAGAGTCCAATAAATGAGAGAAGACCTCCAACGCACGTGACTACTCGGCATCCCATGTTATCGCACAGGGCGGTGGCCAGCGGTCCCATGAAAAACATTACACCAAACGCAAGCGATCCCACCCAGGCTGCAACAGAGAAGACACTGAAATTACAATTGAAAATTTTGCTCGGCTCTGGAAACACTTACAAGTAACAAACTTACAATAATTTGACCCAATATATGACAAGTATACTTCTTTGTATTTCTCGAAACTCAGCCTTTATCAATGAACACTTTTGGCACCTCCGTTCAGATTTTTTTTTTTCCACCTTTTGACGCATTCTCCAAAGTGCACAGTTAGCGCCTAAGTAAATGTTTTAAATTTTGTTAACTTGATGCCGTAATAAACAGCATGGTCGTCTAAGGCGAGCATTTTTAAGAACAGAAAGAAAAATGTCACCAAAAATTACGATTTTGAGACAAATTTCCTGTATGTAAAATAAAATATCGAAACTGAAAATAGCCGAATGTTTAGTAGTGTGACTCTTACAGTCAATGTTGTTTAGACTTGTATTCAATTGGTTTTGTAAATAGACTGAGGGCCACTAAAGTTGTCGTTTGATTTCAGACACCGCAGTCTGGTTACAAGCTGTTTTGTCTTATTTAGCTTAGTTCGCCTGCAGTGCGTTTTAGCCTTCTCTGTGTGTTATCTTTTATTTACGCCCCTAAACTATCATAAGATATCGTATTTATTCGATTTAACGCATTGGCGTTTTATAGAATTATATGATCAAATGCGCATACAAAAGAATGAGACTTATATAGAACAACAAAAGTTATACTACCTACTGTTTGTATTGACACCAATTACGATAAGACAAATACTATGTATAAAGGAAAGATGTTTAATCTTATAAATCCAGGAATAAACGTCGCACTCTTCTGATTGGGTGCTCCGTTCATTCCAGGGCGGTGTTTATTTAGGGTCTCAATGGGGTGTAGCTTTTTTGACGGTTAAATTTTAGAAATTTATTTCAAGAGTTTAAGTAAATGTTACCTTCTATGTGAATTAATATTAACTGTTGTGGTTTGGAGGTTGTCTTAGCCTTTCATTTATAATGATTTCAAGATATTTTCAGATACAAGTAAGTTGTGCGGTCTTGTAATGTCTAGAGAGAGTGTTTTAGAGAACATGGGAACTGGTTTTTCCAGTTTAGAGCCTCCTCTGGAGCAAGAATCTTGTGAAGATCAGCTGATTTGAAATACCTTGAAACGTTTTGACGGTTAAATTTTAATCTGCATTTTTTACGGTTGGCGGTAAAAAATCACCTTTTTTGACGATTGACGGTTAAATTTATGCGTGTAAATGTAAAACTGTAAATGTGTAAATATCATATTATCCACTCCCCTCAGAGCTTTTCAGGAATAATTTACAACACTGGTTGGGGGACTTTACCAGACTGCGTAAGGTGCAGTTTACAAGTAGTGAAGGCATGAGTAATGATGCCTTCATACATGAGTGTGAAAGTCAGATAGACCACTACAACGGGCACTACGTGCCCTACTTTTTACGAAGAGTGTGTCGGTTCTTTAACGTCCTACGGATTTTTTATTACATGTTCAAGGGCTTGTGAGACGGGAGATAGAGATAGATGCTTTATTGTCTTAATACCTTGCAGCCATAGGCTGAATTACGAAAGACATTACAATAAAGACATTACAATAATAATAAAAAAAAGTATATAAAATATAACAATAAAAAGGGCATAAAATTGCCCTAACTAATTAAACACTTAAGCGCGAAAACGTGACTAAAAAAAAGATGGGTTCTTGCACAAATGTAAGGCAAAGTTCCGATTTTTATTACCTGTGGAAGGAAGGAGTTTGTGAAGAGTGTGCACGGGGCCTACGGTTTATCGTCCTTATCCAAGAAGACTAGAATGTCAAACCGTTTGCCGATGTTATTACAAAGGCAGCACTTTCTCCTCAGTTATTTAAAGATCCTGATTGTTGGTCCGGCCGGGGTTTGAACCTACGGCCTCCCACTCAGCAGACCGGCACTTATCCTATTGAGCTAACCGTTTGTCGGCTAAAGGTTCACCCCATTGAGACTCTCTTTATTGATCATTTGGTTCCATAACGGCGTTTTGTCGGAATAAAAAGTTTTTTTCTAACCCCAAAAATAAGTTTTGGAGACCAGTGTCTACCGGTCTCTTTATTGATCATTTGGTTCCATCCGCTCAAGCCCTGCCCTTGACTTCCTGCAAGCCGAGGCCTCTTTTCCCCGGTGGGGAGGGGGGGTGGTACTCCCCTATAAAATTGACGGGAATGCTCGCCGTACCGTTTAGAGGTTTATATTTGTGGGTTGGTACCGCTAAGGGTGCGAAAACCTAAAATGACTACTGCCAGATTCTGTTAGACATGATACGCTTTATCAGGATGAAGATTTCTGACAATACTTTCAAAAAGTCCTCTAGATGAAAGTGTTCGAAAGTTGTCTTTATTACCTTTAAAATTTGCAGTGCCAGTTATATAGTTTGTTTTTGTTGAATTGATACCTCTTAGGGGTGGAAATGAATTTGGGACACGCCCGAAAAACAAGATTACTGGTACCTTTTATGGGTGTTCTCGAAATTTTCCGACGAGCGCCCCCGTCACTTTTATAGGGGAGTACCCCGGGGCTCTTTTCCCCGCCGAATACCAGGGAAAAGAGGACTCTGCTAACAGGGAAAACAAACATCAGCTCTATATTAACTTCGCATTGCTTAATTAGGAAGCACGCAGCAACCCCGCAACTTAAATTTATGTGAGTTTCCCCCAGCCGTACGCTCGCAGAAGCTGCACTCCTCCATTTGTTCCCCGTAATCCTAAACGTAAACAATAGATTACGAGTAGTCCCTCAATTAAAGCGCCCAAAAATTGCCACGAGCGAGAGGAGAAGCGGAGACGGGCGTCACCTTCCTAGCGGATGGCGAGCTTCAGTCTCACGCGCTCGCGTATTCCCTCGCTCCATAGCCTGTTCTACACGTTCAGATAGTAGGGCGCTGGCGAAAATTGACGAGGGAAAAATGGGACGGAAAAGGTCTCCCCTCTTTATTATTTTTTTACCCTCGTTTTCCTTTTGTGCTCGCCGCGTACAATTTAACTCGCTCTCCACCAAATGAACGTCAGAAACAGGCAATTTGGTCCATTGTCCCTGAGGAAAATGAGGGACTGCTCGTAGTGTGCATAAACGACAACCACGTTGGCGGTTTAAATGACATTTCAACACGATATTTGCACGTGGCGGAAGGATGAGGAACTGAGATCGGAGGAATATGACCTTGCTTTTTTTTCTGGACTGATGAAAGCTGGATCAGCCGAATCGGAAGATAGGTCATTAGAGTTTTTAGTTTTTAGGTGAAACATGAAACACGCGCTTCATTTGTCGTCAGGAAAATTTTGCATGAACATAATTAAAAGAATTTTCCACCCCTTCTTCTTATATCGTGGGAAGAATCTTCATGCACAGCTGATCATGTGGGAATTTGTACGAACATGCCCCACAAAGAGGCGCTAGGGTTTCTCAAAAAAATTCATCTTGGAGGAACTACCTAGATGTACCACCCCTTAATATACCTTTTTATATGCCATTTCATTGAAAAATGTTAACCATTTTGAATTCTCAATTACGAGAAGGCCTCGAAAAAAGGTACCTATGCATTTTTAGCGCAGCCTACCCCGATATGTTAGGAGAAGAGGGCTTTAGAGCCCCAGTGCATGTGGATTGCCGCTAAAACCTTAAAAAAATATATTGGTTCGCTTTCATCCCGGGGGGCACTCCCTCTTTTTTAGCCTTAGAGGTGATACACGGTGCCAAAGGGTATAAGTTAGAGCCTTTTAGCATAAAATTACATATTAGAGGTATAGATTTCAACCACGTTGGTCTAAGTGTAACACAGGGTCGAGTTTGGTGAGGAATTGGGTTGTGGATCTTTTTCCTTTTTATTCACCTCTTGAGAATTGCGCTTTGATTACTTGGAAGCCATTCTCAGTTATTGTCGAATCTCGCTTTAAGAACACCCGTTTCATACCGACACCTCGTTATTACCGGCACTTTGCTTCAATTCAGTCAATTGTCCCTGGGGAAAGAAAGCCTCACTCGCCTAAGTACGGACACCCCGTTAATATGGACATTATGTCCGTATTTTAAAACGGGATCTGACTGTATTGTCGAGGCAAACGGATCAGCTATATATATCATATAGTATGTTCTTAGGTGGGGTGGGGATATAACAGCAAGCTCTCCCCCTGGGCTTGAAAATTATGACTGACTAATTAAAAAGTCACGTTTTTTCGGATTTTTAAAACCGGAAACTATATAATATTACAAGTATTTGATAAACAAATTTACCGGACCCATGCACAGATGGCGGTCAACGAAAGGGCACAAACATGACTTTAAAAAATGAATCTCTCACGTACTTTAAAGCAACCCGCAACCGTTCTAACAAGCGGTGCTGGTTTTTGTTACCTGTCATCTAACGGACAGAACGTAAATAAATAATATGAATGTCTTGTAACATTTATTGTCGGAAATAATAACTCATATCATCATATCCCCTTCCCAAGCAAGTTGATAACCATGGAAAGAACAGAAAATTGTGTGTAATGGTTAGCTACTTTGAAGCCTGGTAATGCTGCGTCCTTGAAAATTATTGTTTAAAACGCATGGGAACAATGCCTCATAAATATTACTTCTCGGTCATGCATTTGCCATTTACCTAACCTGCAAGGATTCTATTTCATTACCCTCTAGCTATTGAAATGAAATGGAATATTAAAACACAGTGTACCAATCTAGGGTATGTTAACAAAAATGAATTTACCTGTGGCGGATTCACTGCGTTGAAATTCCTTTCCAAAGGCAATGAAGAAAATCCCCACTGAACTGTGTATTCCAAAAATAATGAACTGCACTACGAACGACGAGGCACAAACGAACCATGATCGACGTGAATCGTGAAAATCTTTGGAGTAATCTGTCATTCTGCATGAGATAAAAGGTGGAAATAACGTCGAGCACTTTTTTCTGAGCGCCCTTTTTGGTTTCTCTATTCGACACCGAAGCAGCTCCAGCCACTGAGCTCAAATGTTTGCCGCCTGCAGTTAAAACGTTAAGGACCTGTTGTGCGGTTTTGAGGTCCGCTGAAAAAACGGTTTTACAGGACTTAAGCTGGATTTTTAAAAAAATCAGAATTCAGCCACGACTGGTACCTGTATTGATTTGTGTTATGTTTTAACCAATCAAAACTAGGATTAACATTATCATGAAAAATAAATCCAAATGTTTGTGGGTTTCTATGAACTTTGAACACCAACAAAAGTGGAAAACAAGAAAAGCTGGTCTTTAGAGTGACTTCGCAAGCCGGTTTGACCCTAGCCCAGGATAAATAACTTTCAACTTCCGGATCGGATGGGAGTGGAACTAAGGGAATGTCCGCTCCGAGCGACTCTTTAGAACATGTCAGGTTATCCGGAAAAACTGTGCGTTCAGCCATGCGTTCCTTGTTTGTCTTAATTGTACTGACCATATTTAAAATTTTTCAGCTGTATAAGCAAAGCAACAGCTTTCCTTGAAAATGGTTAATTGAGCGGTTATTTGGATGGGGTCTGATCAAGGGCACTCTGCAAGCAAGTAGAGTCTCCTTCGATCTTCCTAGAAAAATCGGGAATGAGACTCTGCTCGCAGGGTAGATCAGGCATAGACTGATTTTTTTTTTCGACCACAAGGGACCTGCACAACCTTTCCAAATTGTCCAAACGCAAAGTGGGGTCCACTTGTGGGATCGAGGGACATACACCTCCTTCGTCCGTTCGCTTAGCGTAGCCCAACCTCGTCCCCAGGGCGCTTTTCCCTTGCTTTGGCTCTGTCACAGCGTTTTGGGCATCCCCGCGTTTTGGGCATACCCATTTCCATATCCCTAGCGTTTTGGGTATCCCCTTCTCATACTTTACTGCAGCGTTTTGGGCATCCCCCGGTACCCTCCCGGGATGCCCAAATCCCTAGCGTTTTGGGCATCCCCTCCAAAACAACACAATTTGGGATTTCGCGGGAAAATCGAAAACCTTTTAGAGATGGATTCCGCTAAATATACAAATCTGTTCCGGTATCTTAAAAGTAAGGTTTATCCGGAAGGTTTTACAAAGCAGGACAAAACAATTCTTAGAAAATTCGCCAAAAAGTTTGAGTATGACTCAAAATTAGAGTCCTTGTTCTACGTGGCCAAGGAGAAGGATGGCACAGCGCTTCGACGTCTTGTTATCGCCGAGGAAGATAAAGCGAGGGTCTTCGAAGAGTGCCACTCTGCTCCTTTTTCTGGACACGCCGGCCGCGATAACACTCTGAGGAAAATCAAAGAGCGGTTTTACTGGCCTGACTACTACAAGGACACGATAGAAATGGTTACAGTGTAGTTACAAATGTTACTTATTTGCCAATTGATCGTGTTTTTAAAACACCCGCGTTGATAATCGAAAACATACGCTAAATTTCTTCTGTTGTCAGTGTTCTTTGAAAGGGTGAGGCATAATTGCATCTTTTGGTAGGTTGTCAAAGGGCATTGTAAACCGGAGTCCTTCTTATAGATCCCGTTTGTTATTATTTTATGTGAAGCCAAAGATCAGAAGTTATATTTCTGAAGGGTCGAGATGACAGATTTTCTGTCAGTTGCCTAAGTGTGGCCTTGAACATCCATTTATGTCACGCCGGCTGTCACGCCCGTGCGCCAAGCACAACATATCTTCTAGTGACCATCATTGGAGCGTCCATTTATCATAACTACATAACTACAGGATTTTTTTCTAGACATGCCTTTCCCTTGCACTGTAGGTTTTTTTGGGGGGGAATTGTCACCCCACCTCCGGTTATTTCTGATGATTTGAGCCCGGGGGGGGGGGTACTTTAGGAATTTCTGTGTGGGGATGTGCCGCTGGGACCCTGGAACCCTTAACCTATACCAGAGCTAGTTCAGCTGAATTTTGCTACCCTATACTAGAGTAAACTCCCCAAATCCCCCTATCCTAGAGTAGCTGTTTACCTAGTCTAGATAAAATCTTCAACCAAATGATCAGTTTCCTGAAAAATGATACCCTATTCTAGACATTCTAGACCCAAACGCTCTGATTTATATACCCTATCCTAGAGTAAACTGCTTGAAAACCATACCCTTCACAGCGGCACATACCTATATAGCCCATATATGGCAGTACCCCCCGGGGATTTGAGGCCTCTGTAATTGTGTGACAGCCTTTCCTGTATCAAGTAGCGCTGCGGGGTTAAGTTGTACAGGCCTCAAATGTCATGAATACTATGAATGCAACACCGCAAAACGCAGTTTTATTCATGTTTACCTTTTGATTCCTTTGTTTAGTATTCTTGTTTTTGGCTGTTTGGAAGCAGACGATCGCAGCTGCCGGCGATTGCGGCATTGCTCGCTTGTAAACAGTTCTATTAAATAAAATTGAAAGCTTTGCAAACGATGAAGTGTCGTGCATCGAAGCCATGTTATGCGGTTGTAAATTTCAGTTTCGTCATGTTTTGAGCCAACGTTTACTGCCTATGGGTTTTTTCCTGCGCAATTAACCCGGCAAAAAGTGTCGGACGATATAATTCTAACATGCATCAACACTATTTAGCCGTAAATTCGTGATTAACAATCCCGACATTTCCCCAGTCTGAAATAATTTAGGCAAAGTCGAAGTGATCAGCGTTTTGAATGGGGATGCCCAAAACGCGGGGATGCCCAAAACGCTGTGACAGCTCCAAAGCCAGGGAAAGCGCCTTGGGGACGAGGTTGAGCGTAGCCCCCATTGCACGTTATTAGCTTATAAGGGCACGGTTCACCCCGAGACCGACATACGTTATGGCGAGATTATTCAGATTGTTTGTTGCTCTAACCTGATTTACCATAAATCATCTATTAAGTACCCCCCTCTCAAATAAGCCTCCTCCTTGTAATAAGCCCACCCTCTTCAATGGGAACAGAGTTAATAAGCCCGTCTCTCGCTAATTAAGCCCCCGCGGCCCTCAAGTGGCCCTGAAATAAACAAGCCCCCGGGAGCTTAATAGAGGATTTTACGGTAATAAAGTTGTAGACAATATATATAAAACCCTGGTGTTTCCATTCAAATGAAGTCTCTTTGACGAAAGTTTACACAGGACTATTCATTTCGTGTCCCAGGACTTTGCTGTAAAAGTAATTAGTGGTTGTTAGCCACTATTGAGGTAGGCTCATTTTCCTCCTCTCTTCTGAGACCTATCGTTGTTCTTCGCTAAGAGAGCGTTCAGGTTAATCAGGGCGAGGAGTGTAACCCAAACAGCTGCTGCCAATCGAACTTTCTTTTAAAAGGGTAAAAGGGTTAAGTTTCTTTCGCTTTGGGTGGATGCTTTTCTCGAGACATAACAACAAGCTACAGGGGCACCCAACGACGAGGGTTCACAATTGCTGGTTTTCAGTGTCACGCCATTCAAAATAGATCAAAGTAAAAATCAAAACCTTTTAATAGACAAAGTCCAGAGGCTGGGAAATGAAAGGAGGTGCATATACAAAGACCCTCGCCAAGATTGAGGTCAGAGGAATATTTCGTATACGAGATATCCGAAGAAATGTTTTACCCAAATGGAGACGCCATGCTGGTGCTCACCTGGATGAGCTCCAACCTGGCGGACGGAAACCAACATGCACAGAAACATCTGTTACCGAGTTTTGCTACAAAAGCGTGAATTTATTCTTCGAGAAACTCATAAACATTAAAGTAATTCTTTTTCTAGTACATGAACTGTTTAGATAGCAAAATTTCCTGAAATAAGTCATTTTTTTAACCTAGTGACAGCTCTCTTGGCCGTGTAAATGTCGCGTCACGCAAAAGCTTAGAAATTCAAGCGTACTCTATCACAAAACCAAGAACCCTTTTGAACCGAAAATTTGTATGAAAATTTGTTTTCAGCTGCTCTAATGCATCGTGAAAGTACAATCTCAGTGGGATCGATAGTTTTTTAATTTGAATTTTTGAGACGTCAAGTGAAAACAATTGGTGGGATGCAGGATTTGGCTATTTTTTGTGGTGATACTCGGGATTCCAGCCAAAAAAAGGAGCGAGAGGCGGGAATTTTGATAACAAGGGGCAGCGGATTTCCTATTTTTATTGGGTTGGGATGAGGGAATCGTAAGGGAACTGAGTAGCGGGACATGAAGCCTGTCAAATTTATCCATTATCACCTTTGCATGTGGTATATGTAGTCTTTTCTTCGGAAATTTTACGCCGGTACTTAGCACCTTTTTGTGCGGATTTAAGAAGGGAAGAAAATAATGAGATTTGAAACTGGAATTAGTGCAAGTAGCAGTGCAAAAGAAGAAGACATCGAGGACCATTAAAGTCCAAGAAGGGTGGAAAAGCATACTTTCTGCTTGGGGGTTGTCTGCATCCATTTGGTTGTGCTGTTGGATATCATGGCAGGTTTATGTTTCCATAATTTTCTCAGTCTGTGTTCAAGATTACAGTTTCCATGACCCGTAGTCAGCGTAGGAAATTGGCTTCATCGCCTCATGGAACCTTGAAGTAAACACATCCATCTACCCAACTCAACTGGCTGCTTTCCAAAGAGCCAGGATTCAGATCGAAGTAAACCGTTATTTTTTGTACTGATGCGCGGACGAAAAAAATATTGAGCAAAACAGAAATAAAGTTACAGTCGTTAAAGGTTTAAAGTCAAAAAACCCTAAAGCTGCCTATTGCAAGAAGGTGAGAATTATATAAGGTATATTTTAGTAACTTGGGAAGCAACAAACTCGTAAAAAAACCTTGGGTGGGATCGGGATTCGGACGTACAAAGGGACGGGACAGCGGGATTGCGGGATCAGGTGGACCCTCAACGAAACTTTCTTTTTAGCGGGATATCCAGAGTACTTTTGGATCTCTAAAAATGCATTCTAACCGGCGCTATCATCCTAGGGGAACTTGAGTCTTTTCGAAATTACAAGGGCTTC